AAGAACGACAATTTACGCTCAGAAGCAACCTCGTGGCTGTCAGCTAATCACTGTGGCTGTTGTCGTCGCTGACCGAGCTTCCCCGACTAAAACCGGTTTTACACTTAGGGGTTGCAGTGTTTTGTAATGGTGGTTATAAGCTTTATGAGGGTTCTTAGGGCTTATACATTTAGATAGGGTTTTCTTACAGGTCGGGAAACTATGCTGAGGGCAGAGGTCTTCAAGGATCGAGTGTTGAAACATGCGAAGCTTATGGCTTGGGCTTTATGATTTAAGGTTTACCTATAGTCTCCATTGTAGTTCCTTTTTTTGGTTTAACCAAATATATATTAAGGAATTTAAAAGGTACCCCCAAAAAGGAACTACAATGGAGACTATAGGTAGGGCCAGTTTAGCGTTTAGGATTTAGGGTTTAGGGCCTGTGCCCGGTTCAAGTGTTGCGGTCAGAAGGCGCAGTCCAAAAACGGCAGCCCTAAATAGTAAAACCCTCAGCTAGAATCCAGGGTTTACGGATTTGGGGTTAGGGTTCAGGACCTTTATTTTTAATAATTCCCCAACAAATCAAGGAAGTTACGGTTACACTTTCGGATTGCCAGTAAATTATAAGAACCCAAGAAGTTTAAAGGTTGGCTATTGGAGAACTAAGTTACAAGGATCAGAAGAACCCGTGGAAGATAAGATTCTGGCCCCGCAATACCTCCAAAAGACCGCGCGCCCCCCCGCGCCCCAAAGCCTGAAAGCCTTAACTCTGAAACCCTCAGCCCTACACCACTAAGGCCCGAGACCCTAAACCCCTAAACTCCTCAATCCTAAACTCAGCCCTGAAACCCTGAACTTAGCTTGAACTTAACCATGAAGCCCTGAACACTAAATCTAGCCATGAAAACCTAAGTCCTAAACCCCAAAAGCCCTAAATTTAACCATGAAGCCCTAAACCCTAAACCCCTAAAGCCCTAAACCCTGAACCCTAAGTTTAACCATGAAGTCCTAAACCCTAAACCCTAAACTTCACCATGAAGCCCTAGACGCTGAAACCCTGCACCCCGAGATCTAAAACCCAACAACCCTCAAGGCCCAAATATAGGGGCCTTAATCATTAGAATAGGGTTTCCACTATAAGGGCTTAATAATTAGAATAGGGTTTTAGGGTATATTCTGCTATAACTGTAATAATGAATCCCCACAATGATATTCGTATTTATTTAAGCCCCTATATTACAGCCACAAAACCCGCAAACCGAAGCTCCAGTTCAGTCTGCACGATGACCCTAAACCCTCTATAAACCGTGGCTCCAGTGCAGTCTGCACGATGACCAGGTCCACTTTGTGGAGGTCACCCCGCAGCCTCCGCACCATAGGCTTTAGGGTTTAGGGGTTATAAGGTTTAGGGATTTCCCAAGAGTTTCAGACAAAAGCCCCAAGTAGGTACTCTGTTTAGACTGTACACCCCCCTAAACCCTAAACCCTAAACCCTAAACCCTAAACCCTAAACCCCAATAGGCTTAGTTGTGGATTTTAGTGCTTCCGTGTCTTAGGGTCTAGGGATCCAGAGCTTTAGGCTTTCGGACTGTGGGGCTTCAGGGCTTTAAGTTGTTTGATCTGTTTGTTTGATCAGGGTGCTTTTAGGGTTTAGGGTTTAGGGTTTAGGGTTTAGGGTTTACTAGGGGTGTTTTAGAAAGGTTTCGCTTGGTTTCACGTTTGTCGCAAAGTCTCTCAGGACACGCACGAGGAGTCTCGACAAAAGCACACGGTCGAGAGGTCCAATTTAAAGTACAGTCCCTGTCTACTATAGGGCCCTTAATAATTAGAATAGGGTTCGGGGTGTATTATACTATATAATTATAAAACGGAACCCCAAAACAGTATTGGTAATTATTTAGGCCCCTATAGTACATGCTTTTCAAGCGTGCTTCTTCACTTCCGAAGTTCCAAGAACTCTCCAGGCTTTGAGCAAGTTAATCCATAAGAAGTTTGGTCGTTTTGGAGGCTTTCCCACCAAAAGACCCGAAACCCTAAACCCCTGAAGCCTCAAGCCTAAACCCTAAGCCCTAAACCCTAAATGAACAATAAACTTTAGCCGTTTAGGGTTTTTATCTCGTGGTTCTCCGGCTTGGGTCCCACATGCATCGAACATAGGGCCCAAACTAGTGGGTTGAGCGTTTTTTTTTCCGTTTAGGGTTTAGGGTTTATAGGGTTTAGGGTTTAGGGGTTGAGCGTTTTAGAGTTTAAATAGGGTTTAGGGAATCGGGTTTCGTTAATACAAGTCGGTTTAGGGCTTTAGGTTTTGGGGTTTATAGGGTTTNNTTAGGGAAGCCGCTTTCGGTGTATATTAGAGTACAAAATACATGTTATTGACCCCTTCAGGAATCCTGGAAAAGTAATGTAATTGAGATCTATAGGGACTGTAAGCAACCATTCAAAGCCCTACACTGCGTGTCTTTCTTACTTCCCAAATACCTTTATTCAAAAATCAAGCTTTCAAAACAAGACTACCTCCATACACCCCCAAACGTTGCAAAGGCAAGTTTCCTAAACCCTAAACCCT